GCTCCCATGGAAGCCAACAGAAAACAAAATCCTTCCTCTTCTACAACTCAAATCATAACTACTTCCCATATGATGAGTTTTAGGTGACATCCATAGGTCTGCAAAGGCCTGGATACTTTTTTTATAAAGGAATATTTTAAAAATTCAAAAGTAACTGCATTTGAACAAGAAGTTCACATCTTGCAGTTCTCAGTCAAGAGTCTTTTCGAATGATTAGGATTTTTTACTCTTTAGGAACCTCAGCATTTGACCAATAGGTAAGATTCACAAGAAAAGCTTATAATAAAACCTCAGCTATAGGGAAATAATTTAATGATCACAAGCAAACAGCAAGTGGAAAGAGATTTTTCCCTTTTTGACTATGCAATGCTCTTTTGTTGCCACTACACCAATTCTTTAATGCCATGGAAACTGTCTGATAAATGTATTAGAAGCTCAATAAATTTCATAATATTGAGGTAGCAAAGCAATTGGTACTGTTGACAGAGAACTTCTGCTCTAAGTGCTTATTTAAAGGAGGAAAAACCATCTAAAAATAAAAATCATACTTTGAAATGTTTTCAACAAAAATATACAATTGTTGCAAAGAACATGAAAGTAACCTTCACTAATTATATTAAATCATTGGAAAATGTGGAAGGATGACAGGAAAAAAACCACACCCTGAATTACAAAAATGGGATACAAATGATTTAACAATTAACAGTCTTGCTTTTGGATGGTTTGCTTTGCCTAACTTCTATATTTGTAATGAGGGCCAGGGGGCTGGGAACGATGCTGCGAGCAACATACAAGTTTTCTGTGCAATTTCTCAGGATGATAAATGTGTATTTTTAAGACACATGATGTTTTTAATCATCTCTGTGTATGTTTTCATCCTCTGAACACTCCCCTATCTCTACAGACACCAGGCAGAAATACAAATGAGCTCCCCCTCCCCCTTTTGCAGGTAATACTGAAATTGCTGTTTTCACATGTCCAGCACTTACAATATACTCTTTTTCCAGCCAAATGCTTTCTAACATTGCACTCCTGCTGTTCCACCTCTAGAGACTTCTAAGTAAAAAGAGCAGCTATACAAAATGAAAGCAAAATAGTCCTCCAATAAATAATACACCTATCCAATGCATCTACAATCCTATTTTCCTCTACAGAACAAGCTCGATTTGAGGCAAGCCACAAACCTGGTTAGCAAACCTGGGAGGGAATCTCAGGCACAGAGATGGAATTACAATCCCAAACAAGGGCCCTTCACCAGGACTGCTCTGTCACAAGCCAGTTACACCTAAGGCACCTGTCAGCCTGGGTAATACCAGCAGCCTCTTCAAAGTAAAGCCAAAATCCATCATGCACTGCAAGATACACCAGGGAAAAGCATGCAACCTTCAAAAAATGCATGTGAGAAACATACAGAAGAGCACGCACAGGCAAAATGCAACTGTGCCACAAATCCCGCGTGCACTTCCCATTGCATTCCTCTACACTTAAAACAAGGGAGAAAACACTGGGTTTAAAGTGTTTTATTGTACATTCGTTAGATTTTAAAAGATAACATCAAATCAGATTTAGTCACAATGCAATAAATAAAAAAAATAATGAAATCATCTAAAAATTTAAGTCTTTACTCTAGGCAAACAGCAGTTTTTTGACTTGGGGTTTTTCAAAACCTCAACTCAGCCCAGCAGAGCCTCAGAAAGAACACCTTGCTTTCCAAATACATTGTTTGTTTACAAACTGATACCACACACACATGATTTTTTAAAAAAATATGAGAGCAACAACTTCATTTCTCTATACTTTTTCCTGAAATGAGCAACACTGAAAATTCCAGTTGTTCTTATTCCATTTCTTAAATAGCAGCTTATCCTCCAGACTTGCACACAGCATCAAAACATAGCATCTCTCTTATTTTTCTTTCCCAAAATATTTTTATTACCGAATGAACAACAACAAGACTGGCTTATCTATCTGTTTTTGCAATACAGTCGTGTATACTCACAGAAGGCAACAGACTGCATTAAAACACTACCAAAACAAGCCATTTCACTATATGTGACTCTGCCCCCAGGGAAAGGAAGGAGAGCAGATAAGATGTGACAGATGTGTAGTCACATCACTTAATACACTACTGGAAGGTGCTCAGATCATTATGGTGACAGGCAGAGTATAAAAACTTGCAAGGAATGGACCAAGCAGTTACCCAGTTTTCTGCATACATGATTCTTGTAATCACAGAAGATACTCAAGGCCATAAAGCGTTGTTTGAGATAAAGCAGCCTGCCAATGTCAGTATGCAATATATCCACCAAAAAATTAAAAAAAATAATAGAAGGGAGCACAGCATGTTTGTGTAAGCAAAATCCCTCCATGATGCATATGAAATACATCTGATGAGTATGAATTTGAGGTCTATCTTCTAAAAACTTCCCATACTGAAATATTTCTGAAGAGATTTAATTAAACTTGAAATTTACCTCAACCAGAAAGCTTATCAATTGCACATCTCCAAACAAAGTTCAGTTTTCTGAGACGTTAAAAGGCTACTTTGCTGGTATCTCTTCTCTATTTGGGTTTAAAAGACAAAATTTGCCAGGATAAAACTGGAAATCATAGGGTTACTGGACAGAAGGAATAGGACTGGTCACTTGTTGGAAGATGAGTGTAACTGTAAGAGTTTAAAAATAATCAGGACATTCATTAAATTAGTCAAGAAAAGGATGAAAAACACAGGAGAAAATAATTTCCTCACTTCTTGCAGACTTAACAATCCTAAATGTTACAAATATTAATGTAGGTCAAGAGACCTTCCAAACAGTAGCATGATTTTTAGCTGCCAGTATCTCTTCTGCAGGGACCAACAGCTCTGCTGTTTAGAGATTGTTAGGCCCAAATCCCACAAATTAATCTGCACAGGTAGAACCCTGCGCCTCTGGGAATCCGTATTAAGGCAAAGAGGGAAAACCAACTCCCAGGATCACATTCTTAATTTGAAGCTGGACCATTGTAACTTATTATGACACTAATCATAAATGTCTCACCAACACTCTCTGCTCCCCATCTGTTTGTTTTATCTTATTATAGTTTTATATCTCAATCCTCAGGACTGGCTGCAGTAGTCAAATTAAGCACCTGGACACGCCTGTGTTTCTGCAAGGCGAGGTTCATACTGTTTTACTTATGCTTGTGCCCATGCCTGGTTTACTCCCTGAATGGGACTACAGAATAGAGTGAAATAATTACAACAATAATTTCTTCATTTGTACAAATACAAATCCAAATGTTTTCCACTAATCCAATCGTTTAAGCCAAAGGATAAACTCCAGTCACCTTCCGAAATGCAACAACTAGCATGAAATAACCTGCAGATCAAAAATTACCTGAAGAAGTAAAACTGAGCTTGCAAATTATTTGAAAGAAGTATTTGCTTCTTTATCATATTGTCACAAAACAACAAAAGAGTTCAACAACAAAGAGAGGAAAAAAATTTAGAATCACAGAATAACCTGAGTTGAAAGGAACCCACAGGATCATTGAAGTCCAACTCCTGGTCCTGCACAGGATCATCCAAAGAATCACAAATAATATTCACTGCAGACTACAAAGTCAAATCCAATGGCACCAACCAACCCTAAACTGAGAAATACTGGATAAAATTCACCACCAGGCACAGTGCAGGGGGGCTTGGTGCACATTTCGCTTGACTCAGGATATGCCATTTGTGCATTCTTCCAGGAAGCCACAGAAAGAAGCCCCCAATACTGCAATGACAGGTCCACTGGAACTAATCTTAGAAACCTACTTTTAATTAAATTTGAAGACCCACATTAGGCTGAGAGATTTTTGGGGGGTTTGGGATTTGTTGAGGTTTTTGTTTTTGTAACTACTGTATCCTTATGAAGTAGGGTTGAGAACTAACCAAAGTGCAGTTCCATATCTGTTACATATTTCAATACTCTGATTAACAAATTCGTGAAACAAGGCAGATGAGAGAACGTGAGGAATATACTTGCCCAAAAAGGAAGAAAAGAGACAGACACAGTATTAAACCTAATAAACTTCCTATTTTCCAGAATTATCAGCACCAGCCATGACTATTTTCACTACTCAAGGCAGAAATGAAGAACAGCAATGAAAAAAATACACAGAAGTAAATAAACCATTTGAGAAGTCAGTGTCGAAGACTTCTGAAAGGTGATTTCCCCTTCCTCACCAGACATGCTGAGAGGTGCTCTTGACCCCTGGATTTGTACTGAAATTCAGTGATAACTGGAATTCAGGGGAAGCAGTCAAGGTATCACAGAGATATTGGCATCCTTTTAAGAGCAGTATGTTGGATCATATTTTTCCTTCTCCAATTAGAGGTTAAATCTGCCAGCAGAAACTCAACCAGCATTGGCATATGCAAGATCTCAAAACAGTAGGGCCTTGCCTAAGACCAGATTGGCAGCATCTTTCCCCTTGGGAGGCTGCAGCTCATGGGACCTTTCCATTTCAAAATCTAGCAGAAGGCAGGACCTGGGAGCTATCCATGCACAAATGGTATGAGAGGGGATCCCATCTCCTCTCTTGCTGTAGGGGCTGCAGTTGGCACCACTACCACAGGGTGCAGATCCACACACCAAGGAAAGATACTAAAAAGCAGTTTCCTTCAGCTCACAAGTCCATTTACCCTTACCAAAATTACTGCAGATTTATGTCAGCTGCTGAGGATTCACAAACCAGAATCCTCTTGCACAAAGACTGAGAGCCTTGAAAATTCAAGTCATGGTAGGGGTTAACATCAGCATTTGAAACTTTCAAAAGTATTGCAAACAATTACCACACCCTCAAGTCACAGATAAAATATTTTGTAGAGCTTAAATACATACATATCTGGCATGAAACATTTCTCAATGCCTGCAAAATTTCCCTGTGACTCCTGACAATAGAGTACCTTGATTTTCAAAGTCAGTTGTAGAGTAGAAATTATTTTATTTATTAAAAACTGTGTTTGATCTTACCTTTTAGCAGAGGCAGTGGAGTTAACTCGATAGGCTTGCCCTGAGACCTGAACTGGGAGGAGCTTTGTGACCTCTTCTGTCTGGCTTTTCTGACGGACTTCCGAGAAAATCCGTCTACTTTATCCACTGATGGAGGAGTAGTTGGTGCTGAGGACATATCCCTACTGAAGGAAAGCATGTGTTAAAAATGTGTTCCAAATGAGTGAAACAGGTAGAGATTAATCTAAACTTCCCGAATATCTTCTTCCTGCACTGCTCTCCTGTTGACAACTCAAATAGATAAACTGTTCAGAGAGCTAACCCATCTTATGGATGGAATAAACTTAATGGAACTTAATTATTAGCATAGTAATTCCTCTTGCTTACTTTTTTATCTGTGTCTTCCATTTGCCAAAAATTTCAGACCTAATGCTGACATCATTGCACTCAGAACTTCATCAGAACAGAACTTTATACACCTGCAGACCTGACTGTAGCTTTAAATTATGCATTCCTTGGGATGAAGTCATTTCAACTTACTCTGCTAAAGAATGGGTACACAAAAAGGCACAGATGGTTTTTTGGCATTAAGGTTACCTATATGCACAGGACAAAAAACACAGGACAGAACAAAAACTCCATTTATTTGCCACACCTACACACAAGATTTTATAGAAATTTAGGAAAGGATAGTAGAAATGTTATAGTAGAAACGTTTCACAATTTCACTGACACTGACAAACTGCGCATGTCACTTCTTTATTCTCCACTTCAGAAACACTCAGTTATTTTCCTGAGAGTGCCTTTACATGTAGTTATTCCATGTCCTGGTATTTCTGGACAACTGGCAGTGTGGTAGCAGTAGCTGCTCTAAGGGCATGAGACAGACAAGGTTTGCAGAGAGAGGCAGAGAGCCAAAAAAGGCTTCTGCAAGCAAAAGTTTGTTTGTTTCCCAACTTCAGCTGGCCTAAGCAATGGGCATTGCTTCTTCCTACAAAACCTGCCTTGGTGGTACTCCTGCAGCTGGTTCTGTACCACTAGCAAACCCTGAATTAATACATCCAGCTATTTTATTTACCAGTCTGGTCCTGTCTGTTAAAAAGGCCCATCAGAGCTTGATGTATTACATGAGTAATACTCAAGGGAGAGGAGACAGGAGGAATTCAGGCCTACACGTTACAAGCAGCTGGGCGCACAGTTAACTCCAGCAGCCTCATCTGCACTAATGACAGGACCACTAACGAGGGCAGCTCTGTCCATTTCGGCCAGGACAGGCACCCGGGCAAAGTTAAGCATCGGCGTAAGCACTTGCAGGATCAGGGTCTTAGAGCATGTCCTTGGAAAGCATTACTCATCCTCGATGTCTGTTGACTTCAATTACCAAAGTGACTCGTGTGCTACAAGAAGTTGATTCCACAACATACAGAACACTTTCGAGTACTTATTATTTTTATTGAAATAGCTGGTGTCCTTCGTAGATTACTAAATCCACTGAAACAGGCATTATTTGGGTTTGTCTTTTGTAAGAAAAGCTTTTGAAAGCATGATTTGTTGCAACAGTGTAAACAAGCTCCAAAAGATAAGAACTATTTAATGCAAAATTACATATACGTGCACTGAATCCATCAAAAATGGAGTATAAACTCCATAGCTTCTTCAAGGAAGCATGTGCAGCACCCAGAAGCTGAACTGTGCAGCTGGCATTACAATAATGAAAAAAACCTTATTCCATCTTTTTGATTTCTCCTGAGGTATTCTTTCACTACCAGCTTAGGCTTTCTAAATATAATATACTATCAGCAACATGAACCCGTACCTTAAACTGGTCTTGTTTATCACCCGGGCAAGGAAAAAAAAAAAAAAAAAAGCCACCATCACCAGGGCATTCAGGCCCCAGCCAAGATTAATAAATAAAAAAGTCAGATAAACTGGAATAGAATGGCCTGTACTTTAGTAACCCACTTCTAAGATTTCAACAGTCCGCCAAAAAACACACAAAGTTACCTGTTACATAAACCAAATTGTGAATATATCAGCAAAAATATATTCCCTAAACCTGAATCGGTTTGGCCCGGTCTCATCTCATCAGAAAGCTTCCCCTCCTCATCACGTGCATCATTAAAGTGTAACCATCCCTGCAGAAATGTTTGCACGCTCTCTCCAAATGAAATTACGAAAAATAATAAAAACAGTAATAATGGACAGCGACTAAAGTAGATCACTTAAACTGCAGGATCATTGTGTCAGCAAGGAGCTTTACTGACACTTCTCTGCTGTAAATTTAGTAACAGTTTCCCTAACCTGCTTTATAAATTATTAAAATCTAATTCTAATTCAACAAGACTACATCCAGCCTAACAACCTTACAGTAAACACTGATCTTTTTTTCGCCTCTCCAAATGAACATTCGCTGCCCTGCATACACTATCACAGGGAAATACTCTGTTTCCACCAACACTGGGGGGGAGGGGGGGCGGGGGGAATAAAGCCCGAGATTATTTATTGTGTGCGAGGGGGAAAGCTGCAAACCCGGCCACCGCTCCCTGCTTCCTCCGCTCTATTCCCCGAGTATTTTGGTAAATACGAAGCCACGCTCATCAGATCCGCCGGTCCCGGGGGTGGGGGGGTGGGGGTGGGGGGGGGGGAAGTGAAAATACCGACGGCTATCGGCGGGGAAGGGAGCAGAGGCGCAATTATCCGCTCTCGGCTGTCATTTCCAGACGGGATCTCCGCAGCTGGAACATGTCCTCCCGCAGCCCCCCGCGCCTCCTCCCGCACCGCCGGGCCGCCGATGGAGTTACCTTGGCGCTCCTGGTAGAGAAGCAGGAGACGGAGGGAGGCGGCGGCGGCCTTGGCGGAGCGCGGCCGATGCCTGGCGGCGGCGGCGGCCCGAGTGCGGTTCTCGCCGGGCTCGGTCGCTGCCGCGGCGGCGCAGGAGCCCTGTAGGCCTCGGCCTCGGCGGCGGCGGCAGCGCGGCCTCCCCGGCGCAGGGCGGCGTCGGCGGCGGGTTCAGGCGCGGGCGGCTCCGCTCAGTCCCGTGCACTCCCCGCTGCCTGCGGTGCTGCTGCCTCTTCACATTCCCGGAGAAGGGCCCTGCGAGGCGGGAGGCAGCCGAGCCGAGCCGAGGGGGAGCGGCGGGCGCGGGGGGGGGCAGTGCCGGGCAGGGCGGGGAGCGCTGCTGTTCCGCCGGCGGCTGGCGCGGGGGAGAGCGAGCGGGGGGTCCCGGTGGGCGTCGGGGTCTCGCTCCTATTGTGGCTCTCAGCGGGCTCCGGCCATGGCACTCGCTCGCACGCACTCGCTCTCGCTCACAACCGAGCGCGCTGCTGCCACCGCCCCCCGCCCGCGGACCGCCCCCGACCGCCCACCGGAGCCGCCGCCGGGACGCGCCGCCTCAGTGGCGCCCGGAGCCGCCTTGGCCGCCGGGATCGCCGGGAAAGGGCCGCCCCCTCCTCCGGCAGCGCGGCCCCGCGCGTCCCTCGCCTCTCTCGACTCTCTCGCCCGCGCGACCGCCGGGAAAGGGCCGCCCCCTCCCCCGGCAGCGCGGCCTCGCGCGTCCCTCGCCTCTCTCGCCCGCGCGTCGCTCGCGTCCCTCGGCCGGGCGAGCGGCGGGGCCCGTCGGCTGAGCAGCAAAACCCGGCGCTGCTGAGGGGAAACCGCGCTCAGGCTGAGGTAAAGCCCCGTCGGAGCCTCTCGGGGGGCACAGAGCCGCTTCCCGGGGCGGACTGCGGGCGAGGGGCCGCTCTGGGTGCAGCCGGAGGGACCGACCCGGCAGCTCCCTGATTTGGGAAGCAGCCGCTGCACCCCTCACTCATCTCTGCTGCCCTTGGGTTTCTTAGCCCAGTGTGTGAGCGATGTCTGCATCGCTTTTTTTAATTTTTTTTTTTTTTTTTGCTCCCAAGTATATTTATATATTCTTAGAACCAGGGACCAGCACAAGGACTGCTTGTAGATACCATGCTGAAATATCATAAATTTTGTTTAAATTTATCTACCCGGTGGCTTGGTGTTTGATGGTTTTGGTTTGTTTGCTTTTTGCTGGGGGTTTTCCAAAATACATGGAATGGCTGCAGGGTAAGGAAGCTGGGCGAGGGTCTGCAGCACACAAGTCCTGTGAGGAGCAGCTGAGGGAGCTAGGGATGTTTAGTCTGGAGAGGAGCAGGCTCAGGGGTGATTTCCGTGCTCTGCAAGTCCCTGAAAGGAGGGTGTAGCCAGGGATTCAGTCTCTTCTCTCTCAGACAAGTGATAGAAACGAAGGGACGCAGTAGGGGATGTCAGGGAACATCCCTGCTGAGCCAGGGGAGGTTTGGGTTGGACATTAGAAAGAATATCTGTGCAGGAAGGGTAATTAGACATTGGAATGGGCTGCCCAGGGAGATCGGTGGAGTTATTGTCCCTGGAGGTGTTTAAGGAAAGACTGGATGTGCCATGGTCTGGTTGACATGGTGGTGTTCAGTCATGGATCTCAGAGGTCTCTTCCAGCCTAACTGATTGTGTGATTCTGTAATGGTGTTAATATAAATGTTCTGTTTTAAAAGTTGACATCTATGAGTAGCAGCCCTCCTATGTTGATATGATGAAATCCCTCTGACGTAAAGTCTTTTTTTTTTTTAAGAAATTGGCTCAAAGGCAGTTTGAGAGCTGGTTGCTTTGGTGGGTCAGCCACATGCCTGCTGTTTGTGCAGGTACTGAATCCTCTCAACATTCCTAACCCTGCAAAGGATATCTAGTTGTTGTCCTACTCAGCTTCCTGACTCAGCTTTTGGCATAACGGAGGAAGTGAGACTGTGTCAGACTTGATTTGAAGTCATTTAAGCTGTTGTCAAACTGCTTTCAAAACTGCTAATTTTCAGCCAGTTCCTGGTCCAGCTCCCACTGAGGAACCTGCAACACTAGTTAAAAGCTCATGGCCACTGAAGCATAACTAATGGATGTGAGTGGTTTTACCTCTCATCTCTCAAAATGCCTCTTTATATCTTAAGATAAATGTCTCCCCTATATTTTTTTTACCTATAGACAAAGCAATTTCGCTTCCTTTCAATCCTTCCTGTTGTGGCACAGTTTTAAACCTCTTAAGATGCTTATGTCTTCTCCTTGTGTTGTCTCAAAATTGTTCCCATCTTTTTTTCTTTAACTGCAGTGCCTGACATTAAGACTGGACATTACTAAAATTTGGGCCTCAACAAGGCCAGCATCTGCTGTCCTGCCTGTCACAGACCCCATTCCTGTTTACACGTGCCAATACAAATCTTTTGAGTCAATCTGGTCTATTCACAACCTTGCTGACCTGTTTTACCCCCGCATCCATTTCTGCTGACCTCCCAAGCCAGGTATTTCTCCCTCAAGTAGACAGTAATGCTGCTTGAGAAATTATTTCCTGCAACAGCCTAATGCTATGCCTTCATTTTTATTTTATAATCAAGCAGTCAGGACATCTTTTTAAATGAAATTCCATGTGATGTTAAGTCAGAGAACTGTAGAATTTGTCATTCTCTGTAAATCGATTGCACTTCTCGGAAGGTTGGTATTTAAAAAGCAAAACTAAGATTGAACTGTGCCACAGTTACAGAAGGGTTGTGTAACTCTAAGTTTAGAAGAGTGATTTGTACGTATTTGTAGACATTTAAAAAATTAAATTTTCTTAAACTAAACCAGCTAAAATAATCTAAATGCAAACAAGGGTGGATAAAGAATGTGGGTTGGAGTTATACCAATATAAGGTAAAATATGGCAAAAACAGTGTAATGTCCCATTAGCGAGGGACAGAACCTGTATTTGTATGTGTTTTGCTGTTCCATGTGCTTAATTTTGATAGCTCAGAATTCCTCAATTCTGCTCACTGTCCTGTGTGCTGCTTTTGATGTGAACAGTGCAGTGAGCAGCTCATAAAGCTACTGGCAGCATGCTCTGCAGAAGGGAGGTTCTGGCACAGCCTGATGGCTACACTGGCACTTTAGGTGCAGTTGAGCAAGTCATTTTACATGATTGTATTTCAGTTTTCCTAGTATGAGATTAATCCATCTTTGTAAAGCATCAAATATCTAAAACTGAAGCCTGTGATGTGGGTATCTTTTAAAATAACTGCCATAGAAGGGATAAAAATCAACAGTGCTGTCCAAGTCCACTGTCCAGTGCACACAGATGTTTTTACCCTTCATTCTGACTTGGTATAATAACTACAGAATTTGTTCTTCAGTACAGCTGAACAAGCTGGTAAATAATGCATTCAGCTAATTCATTTCTTAGATGGTCATCATATAGTCTGGTTGGTCCATTTTGGCTGTGTAAAGCATTTTTATGATGTGTTTTATATCAGGTGATGTTTGGACAGTAACAATTCAAGAAAAAAATACAGGCTTTATCAGGAAATAAACAGAAATCTTACCTTTTCTTTGTCACGTGGCCATCAGATTTTACGCAGTGGGCTTCCCATTTATTTCCTGGTCGCTTTCTTTTTTCTGCTTTAATCTGTGAAGTCCTCATCTGTGGTGAGATTTCAGAGCACAACATAAGATATCAGTGTAAAACTGCTGATGTTTCAAAGGGGTACTGTTACTTGTCCTTCTCCTATTCTTGGTTTAGCCTGTGTTTTTTGAAAGTTGCTACTTCGAAAATGGTTATGTGAATCCCAAGCAGAGATGGAGAAGCACTGAGTACTGCAGGTGTTTTACATAGGTGTGTATCTGTATATGTTTATGTATGTGTTTGTATAAATACATGTAATACCAATTTGCAAAAATAAAAATTAACTTTCCTCAGATAAAAGTTCACATGACCAACATCTCCCATACAAGTGTGTGGGCATATATATGAAAATATGTGCACATTCAGTACCTGCAGCCCTCCCTGGAGATCTACAAGCGATAATAAATCCTTTTGATCAGTGTTTTTCCATTGATATCAAAGGTAGCAAAACAAGACAAACCTATTCTTTTTAAAACTTACACTGCCTCACTCTCCTGCAAAAGGGCTTTTTAAAAATAGCTGGAAAGGAATTTTCAGGGCCAGCTCCTCACCAGTTCAGCTCTGCTTTTTAGCACCCAGACAGTTGGAACAGCAGTCAAGAGCCCTCCAGAACAGAGATTTTTGTACCAGTGACTCAGATTTGTGCCACTTCACGTTTTTTTTGTGTGTCTGTAGTTCCACTATAGACCATCTGTTATGGCCACCCAGGCAAGAATACAGGAGCTCTCATCCACATTGGCATTCTGCTCTTTGCAGAGCAGCTTATCAAACAGGATTGCTGCAGAGATACCACTGTGCAAGTCCTGCTGTATTGAGTGATAAACATAAATGGATCTAGCTGGAGCTTGTTTCACCTGGCACATGTGACACGTGTTTGTCTACAGGAAGGGTCACATAATGCTCCATAAAGGATCTCCTATATGTCAAAGGGAGCATTATCAGGGTACCATGGGATTAGTCCAGATATTCCCTGTTCCAAAACTAGGAAGCAAGGAAAGACTTGATCTCCCCAGAGAACTAATTATTCAGTCCATCAGGAAAAAGACCAGCCAGAGAAAGTGTTATGGAGGAAGCAGCAAAGCTGTTTGAAGAAGCAAATCAGCATCTGAACAAGGCTTTTCTGATACATCTTTTAACAAAAATAAACACTGTGGAATACAGCATCGTAGTAATTGTCCTGCTCCTTTGCTGTGATTGAAAGAGCACAATCTGAAACTTTTTGCTTACTTTGGAATCCAGTTCACATGTAACAAGAAAGCATTCTGCTTAAGTCTGTTCACCCTGCAGTTGACTCCTGATTCATGTTTTTGGTTTTGGAGAGGAGCGGTGTGGCTTTTAGGCAGTGTTTGCAATTGCCATACCAAGTTTCTCTAATAATAAGCAAGTGCTTGTTACAGCTTCCTCTTGCTCCTCCTCATATCAGCTGTGCCATGGCACTGTCAGTGCCCTCAGGAACTGAATTCCTGGTGTG